GAGGGGAGAGATAGGGAATCCTGGGAGCCAGGAACATTTGTAAAGGGCGGGAGAGAGATGAAGAAGAGGAAAATGCTGATGCGGGGAGGAAGAAATGGAACAGGGAGAACAAGGGAATGGAGAGAGGGGAACGGAGGAGCCGCTGAGCGAGGAGAAAATCAAGAGAAAAGAGGAAGGGAGGAGAGAAAAGGAAGAGATCTAGTCTTTCCCTCCACAAAAATTAAGAAAAGCACAAGGACTGGGGAAACCAGCGGGGTGGGGGACCAAGATATCATACTAGGAGTACTCAGCAATCAAAAGAAAACAAACTACTGGGAGGAGAGGGGAATGAAGGAATAAAAGATAATCGGGACGATGACTGTAAAGAGCTGTGGACATTGTCTTAGAGATGATCAGAAAGGTGATATAGGATTGACGCCCTGTACGAGTATTAGACTTTAGTGCAGTATTCCAAGGTGAAATGGCAAACACTCATCAAGACACAAGATAGCCCAGATGTGCCAAATAATGGTGAAGCATAACGTGAGAAAGTTCTTCCTTCCATTTGTTTAAGCCTTTAGAGAAGAGAAAGGTTCTAGAGCTTTTGGGTCCTGTCATTTGGTAATTTCTGATTTCTGCCTGAAGTGTAGATTCCAGCTCAGAGCTTTCACTGAAGTAGAAATCAATATTATGTGCCCTGTCTTCACTTTGTTTTGCTTTTACAGTTATTTCTGTTTATAGCAAGTAATGTTTGGTTTCCATTTATTTTCATGAGAAACAATTTCTTCTTAAAATGCACTTATTTAAGCTTTTGGCAATGAGACTTAAGGGCCTGCTAGGCAAATAGTATAGTGCTTAAAATGGCAAAGATTGTGAATATAGTATAGCAATACCTGAAATTGAGAAAACACCTGTTATGATGGTGGAAAACAGAAGTGCTCAGCCCCACATTAAGTACAAAAAGAAACCCCATATCTTTTGACTAACAGTGTTTACCAATGTGATGTGAGGGAGAAATATGGTGAATATTTAAAACATTTTATTACAGTAAAAACACATACCATTAATCCCTCTCTCTTCAAACACACTCAAAGCCCTCTTTTGTGTGAGTCTTTAGTTGCACTATCATGGCTGCCCCAATGTTCTAAATCAATTTAAAACTTTTACCTTTCATGGTCATTTTGACTTTGGGGCAGAGCCAGAGTCCCACAGTGGTAGATCAGGACACCATAATGGTTGTATGAGCCTGCTTTTCTATCGGATGGCACTGCCCAAAAAGCAAGATGGCTTGTGGAACCGTTTGAGAAAATGACAAGAGTGATAAGTGTGAAAACAAGCAGGTGTGATTTGAGGGGAATTAATGGCAATATGTCTGTTGGTATAATAAGAATTTTTAATTTAATAATTCACTTTATATTTTGATCAGCTTTTGCCTGTATAGAAAAGACTATTCTTGATTTTGGCATCACTACAGAGGAGGAAAACTTGGCACAAAAGAATTTTGCAGAAAATTAGTTTAAAACTCCGTCATGGGATTGTGACATCATCATTCATGGTTTGATACTCAGGTTGCACCAAGATCCAAGCTGTAGTTATCAAGAGAACCTTGGAATCCTGGAATACATTGTTTGTATGCAATACCCTTCTGTAAGCTTACTCATCTGAATGAACACCAAATTAGATAACACTAATGAAAATCTGATTTTTTTTTCATTAAATGCCACTTACAGAGAAAGGGAAGGGCCGGGGATTTAGCTCAGTGGTTCTGGTGCCTGCCTCGCAAATACAAGGACCAGAGTTTGATCCCTGATACAAGAGAGAGAGAGAGAGAAGACTGTACTATAGAAAAGGGGTTTTTGTGAATACAGAATGATCAACAAGTAAAACATAATCCAGGGCAGATTTCTATGCAATGTGAAAAGCATTTTTCTAGCAAAAGCACTTTCCTTGTGAGGTGATATGGTCTCTGTCTCTAAAAGGGAGCAAGCCAAGAAATTTGTCAGGGTTGTCTGTGGGGGATAATCTTATACAGGTTTTTATGTGGGGCTTGGTAATTTCCAAGTTGGCTATTAAAAATCTAAGATTATAGCAACCAGTACCTTCTAAAAATCTTGGATGATAGCACGTGGTACCTTTTTAAAATCTGGGATTATAATACCAAGTACTTTAACCTTAAGTAGACAGGGAGGAAACAACTATCATTCCAAAGTTCATTCTCCTTAGGCTTGGTGTCAACCACAGAGACCCTTTTGATTAATTGCCCCTCTGATCTCTTCCAGACAGAGGTGGAGGAAACCCTAAAGAGGATCCAGAGCCATAAAGGAGTTATTGGAACCATGGTTGTAAATGCAGAAGGTAAATGTATCACAGGGTGCCTTCTTGACACACAGAAGTCAACCAGGAATTTGTTTATTGTGTCAAGACTTGAAACGAATATCTTACAATTTGAAATCAAGTCTGTGTTTTGTAAATTTAGTCCTAGCAGTTACACATCAAACATCTTTGAGTATCTATTATATACCAAGCACTCTGCTAAAAGCTATGGCTATAAATATTAGCCAGGCATGTCTAAAAATGTCTATACATTCCAAAGACACACATAGATCATGTACTTTTTAAAGCTTTGGTATTTCTCTTTCATCATTTCTGGAGTCCCGTTAAAGCTGTCATGTTTATGACAGAGGGAGCATCATTGCTGGCCATTTGTTTTTGTTCTAACGTCACAAAAGATGCATAGTTTCAGTCTTCATTTTACGTGACATTGTTTCTTTGCCACAATTTTTTTAAAAAGTCATTGAAATTCATTGCACTGTGATTTATAGTTTGGTCTTTGTGGCTATGGTATAAAAAGGGCCAATGTGTTTCCAACTATGAAATTTCTACCCAGTCCTCTTGAAGAGTCCACGTAATGCTTCCTCGTGCAGTTCGCCCAAGCTCAGCCATGGTGGTGACCTCTTAGAGGTGTGTGCTGGTCTCACTTCTAATTCGGACCTTGGTAAAGGCAAGCAGTACCAGAAACTCCAGCCTACCAGTTGGAATAAGAGTACTGCTTCACATAACTCCTGCTGCAACTGTAGACGTGGCATATCACCAGCTCCGGGCCTGACAAAAATCCATCAATAGATCCTTATTATGCAACAAGAAGCTGAAACTGTTTAAACTCTGAACCTTAATTCCTTACCACAAAGAATGGAAAAAGAACATACTGTCCTGTACTGGTGGTTGTGAAGATTCAATGAAATAATGGTCAAGGGCCCCCACTGAATAGTAAACTAAGTTTAATTCACTTAATATAGTTGTAATTAAATGAATTACAGAATATAGACATGTTAAGTAACTTTTTACAGAAAAAAACCTTTGATTTTTTATAAAACTGAAAATAACTCAAAGATGAATATGTGTAGTAGGTAGGACTATGATAAATTCACTCAGTTTGAATAATCAGAGGGAAGAGAGGATCTCATCATCCTGATACGTAAGTAAACAGCCGTGCTGAAAAGATCCAGGAAGAGATCCAGCCCCACTGGGTGCGTCTGGTTAAACTGAGTTTGTCTCCAAATATTTGCTCTGCTTTGCCTCATGCCCTCACATGGGTCCTCTGCATGATTTCACAGGGCTGCCACCTTAGTTGGGCTTTGGCTGCAGTGCTGTGTTCATTTCAACCAAGTCCCTTACACCTGGTGGCTTAAAACAGCAGAAATGTATCCTCTCTCATTCTGGAAGCCAGAAGTTGTACTGAAGATACCATCCAGTCACGGTCTCCTTAGGGTCCTACCCCAGAAGCACCTTCCTAGCCCCTCCCCAGCTTCTGGTGGTCATTGACCGTCTTCATGTCCCTTGGCTTACGGACACTCCCGCTCACCCCCCATGCTTCTACGGTCAGATGGAATCCTCTCCCGCGTGCTCCGGTTATGAAATCGGGGCCACCCTATCCAGAATGCTTCCTTTTGGCTAATCGTGCCTGCAGAGACTCTCTCTACACCATATGGCCATGTTTAGGCTGCACCTAATTTGGGGGGGACCCAGCAGAGCTGCATATCCCTGTGGCAGCCAGGCCAACTCATCTAATGAGCTTCGTGGGACGGGGTTTGTGCAAAGAACATAACCCTGGTAATTTGCTTCAGATGTCTGAAAAGTAGCCACACCCTTGATCTGTAAATCTACTGCTAGGAGTTTATGTTAGGGAGTCAGGCAGAAAAAGTTTAGGTAAAAGAATACTCACTAAGATACCCTATGTACTGAGAGTGAATGAACAGCCAAATAAGAAAATAAATCTATCCCAACAGTAGGGGAGTTTTTGAACTCATTATATAATGTTTCCTTGATGAGCTTGGCTCTGTTGAAAATGCCAAAGAATATCTGAAGAACGCAGGGGGGCTGCTCACACCAGCAGTCTTGCACCATTTCTGTAGCCAGAAGCACAAGTACATTTAAACGGGGGGAAGGTGAGGATATGTTACAATGAGTGATCTATTGAGTAATGGAATCAAAAGCGATTTTTACTCTGTTTTCCTGAGGTTTCTCAAAATTTGTCTCATCTAAAGGCAACAAAATGTTTTTAATACCCATTAACTTCTAATTAACCTCTCCTGGAAGAAGGTTGTGTAAGGAGTTGGGGCACTTTTCAAGGCTTCTGGGTACTCATTTTTTTACCTGAAAGTTAAATTAACCTTTTCCCCCAAAATATAGGTGAGAGACTTATTTTTATGGTCAGATTATTAATACGAGAGTGTAAGACAGGGGTGTTTATTAATAGTATGTAGTGTAAGTTGTGTGACCAGAATGTAATAAAATGCTCAATTTCAGCAGCCTACTTTACTCAATTTTAGATGACAGTGCCATACATTATAGTACAGCTTTCTGGCTTTCAGAGGTCTCATGAAATTTAAGATGGAAAATATTGAACTAATATGATGTTTGTGTCTTCTTGTTCTCTCCTAATAATTTCGGTCTACTAATTATCAGCAAATTACTTTAACATACCTTAGGTTGTATGTGTGGTTAGGGAGTTCTGGTATGTTTAGTCACTGCAAGCTCTTCATTTGCCGGGTTAAATGTTGCCCCTTTGGTTTCACTGTTGTGGAAACACAGACTGCCTGCTCATGACAATAAAGTAGACTTCGCAATTTATCAGTGCTGGGTGATACAGGTTTTGATTAGCGTATCTCAGTTGTTAACACTGGTTTCCTATTACTAAAAGCACTCATTGTTTGTAATATAGCAACACTGATCAATGCATTAGACACTGGTAAATATAAGGGTCTATCTCCCACGTGGTCATACCTGCCATATGTTCTTACATATATAAGCCAAATTTCCATAGGTTCTTAATTTTAAATATTCTTGGCATTTCTAACAATCCACCATTTGGGTTCCATTAGATTTTATCAGCCATACAGCCAGTGCCTTCTATTCTGAAGTACAGTCTAGCAACCAACATGCAAATGTACAGTTGAAGAGGATAAACTGAAATAATAAGCACAAGCTTACGGGGAACATTTATTTACATTGTAAAGCACTATCATAAATTTGGCAGTATCGGACTTAAAAGTGCACCTATCCTTTGTCCTAGAACCTCCATTTTAGAATTTATTCTACAAGTTTGAAATGACATGCCTCAGATCATATTGTCTGGCCCCATTTATAAAAGTCAAAGGCTGAGAACAGCCTGAAAGCCTGTCAAGGGGACATATTAGTCAATGCATTACAAAACACCTGTCCAGCAGACTATTACAGTCACTAACATGAATGAATCACCTCTGCATAGACTGAATCAAATAACTGCCTTAGCTGAAGAAAAATAAGGCACAAGAATAATGATACCAATAAAGTAAAGATTACAAACACAAACACATTCTGGAACTGACCTACAATATCCCTGGAGGAATACCTAGGATACTGTGTGTTTCAAATTACACTTTATTAAGTTATCTTTAATTACCTCACAAGGTACCCAGCAAAAGCTCACTAAATAACTTATTTGTCTTCAAGCGTCTATAATATACGTGAAAACCTCCCACATGTCCCTGCAATGTGCCTTACTCTTCAGAAAGGCTAGCTGCTTGCTTTATTGAAGCGAACCGTGAACAGACAGACTAAATAGGCCTGAACACCTGATTCATAATCCTGTCATCTACACTTTAAATAATTTATTCCGGCCGTATTTCTGTGTTGGCACTCAGCACTTATTAGGTTCTCACTATTTAGGATGCAAAAATAGAAAGGCACCCTCCAAGGTTGAGTACTGGTGGACTTTCTGTTTCCTGCTTGTGAAAGTTGGGACCTCCCCTCAAGGGTGAAAGATAACTTAGTCCCTTTCAGGAAACGTGGCCAACAAAAAATAATGCAGAAATGAACAGTTTTATATAATACCGTTTTCACTGACTGGATTTCCCTATAAGTACTGTCAGACCTGTTCTGGAGAGCAACTGGTCTTTCTCAGGGTACAAATGGATTCTTTCCAACAGTCTTGTGAAAATTTGATAAAACTTTCAGGGCATAATACTCTTCTACTCTTGAAAGTGCTCTTTTTGTAATCATTTCTGGAGCTTCGTTTTATGAAGGAAAACAGAGAACCATGTTAGATTCTTTTATTGAATGGCCTTAATTCAGGTACCTAAGGAATTTGACCATAGTCCCAGTTTCACTCCATGTGTCCCTCTAAAGTGAAGGCACATTTGCAAATAAAATCCCTGGAATTCCTATTTGGCAGTCCTCAAAATACTATGAAGGCTCTCCTTGTTTCGATATAATACAGTATATATAACTGCCTATCACAGCACCTGTTACATAATAAGTACAGAGCCCTGGCTGACCCGAATTAGCTGGATTGATTGGAGCTGAATTGAATTATACTTGCATATTTGTCTGGCTAGAATCTTCCAGCTAAATTAATAGATTGTGTTTTATGCTCATATAATAGAACAATAGAGCAATCAAGTAGCCAAGTTTAATGATGTCTAAAGTGAAAAATGAGTGCAAATCAGGGAATGCAGAGCAAAACTACATAATCTTTGTTACAATGTTTTTCTAACATAAAATGTAAGGTTTGCAAAATACTATGCGAGGCATTAGGAAGAAATTCTGAAAAATTGCTTGATTACTCTACAGCACAGGTAGTGATATCCCTTTACGTTTCCAGTTTCAGGAAGGAAGACCTACGGTTTGCCCCATACAGAGCATTTCAAGACAGACTTGCTGTAGATGGGATGCTTGGGGAAGGAAGTGTGTATAAAAATGGATTCACTTAGGGCTAAAATGTTTGTGAACAGCTTCCAAATGATGTATGCACAAAACATTCATCACACCCTTATCTATAAAAATGTACACCAATTGCCCAAACAATAAGAGATTGAATGTATTATGATATATCCACAAAATAGTTAAGCGTGCAAAGATTAAAACTAATGGTGATGACATTATCAACACGAGAAGTTGCATGCTCCAACCTAAAGGAAGGAAAAAGCAGCAGTCATTTTCATAAACAGAGTCTGCCTAGATTTATACTTAAAAATCTATGTAGAAATGAAAAGATTGTAAGGAGGAAAAGTAAAATTAATACCAGTAATATCTGCTATCACGTTTTCTTCTTTACCATTATCAGTGTTTTGCAATAACTTCATAATGTTCATATTACTTTGACAATCATAAAAAATGCTAACCCCGAATCTTATTTCATACTAGGCATTCCTATCCGAACCACTCTGGACAACTCAACCACGGTTCAGTACGCAGGCCTTCTTCATCAGCTCATGATAAAGGCCAAAAGCACGATCCGGGATATCGATCCTCAGAACGACTTAACTTTCCTTAGGATCAGGTCGAAGAAACACGAAATCATGGTAGCTCCGGGTAATTTGGTGTTTCACTTCATATTAAAAGCATCTTTTCACTTTATTGGCTAAAAGCCTTGTTTCAAAGAGTGGGGACTATAGGTTTGAATATACAATATAAAGCATCATTTTCTTGGGTTACACAAGGAAGATGTTTGAATCTGAAGATTCCAACTTGAAAAATTTTTTTGAAACTAGTGATCAATTCCACCTTTGAGCAAAATGAATTTTGCCCACTTTGCACTTACTATTAGTTAACAAATAGTGTCAATGTAGTTCGTAGTGGAGATGTAGTTCTCATTTTCAGTGAATCAGGCACCCGGACCCTGGAGTGTGTCAGACTCGTGCCCTATCCAGAGGATAAAGTGGGAAGAGCACCAAGCCCCACTCTGTGTGGGTAAAGCATAGCCAGCATGGCCTACAGGAAGTTAGCCATGAAGGAAATCAGTTCACAGGGTCACTGAATGACTATGTCACACTCCTAAATCTAACCTAGAACAAACTTCTCCATAGCACGTCTATCAACTTAGAATTGCCTAAAAACTAAATGTAGCTTGGTCATGTCATTTGAAGAGCATTTTTTAAAATGGCCCATGCCATTGGTGTGACACTATTCACAGACCAATGAGATCAGACTCTCTAGGACCAGCCTGGGTTGGGTAGTTTTTAAATACTCAGATGATTCTGAAGAGCAGCAATCGGTCTCAAAGGCCATGTGCTATTTGGAAGAGAAAAGCAGCTGTGCTCGATTACTAAATGGGATTTGTAGGGTGAATTAATTCTGTCCACCTCTCTCCATAGATAAAGAATATCTTCTGATTGTCATTCAGAACCCATGTGAATAGACCTGCCACAACTACGGCTGCCCTCACGATGCTGAGCTGGGAGCATCTTACTCTTTCATAATTCCTAGAATTATACCCCAGTCTAACTGTGTCTTGGACAGTCTTTTCCATTTCCCCATCTAAACTATTCCACATGTCTTTTTCGTCCCTTTTGAGTGCACTGTGAACTTTGTACTTTTGCTAACTAATAAACAAATTCTGGTATGTATGTCCTTTTTTTTTTTTTTTTTTTTTTTTTTTTTTTT